TAGCGGCTTTACATTTCACCCACACACGTCTGGGCTCGTGTTTCTGCATCTTATACCAGTTACTTTAGACTTTGACTTTTGACATGGCCACAATGATTTGAAAGCTGTGGCACTAGTTACTTTACAGATTAAGCTTTTATATGGAGAGATTAAATCTGAAGTTCAGGAGTGGGACCTGGCTGACACACCTCTTCCCCCTCAGTAAAATAAATATCGCCCATTACTATCATCATTTGCTCCCGCTTATTGTAACTCACTCAGCCTTCCCTCCTTCCACTGTGGGTGCGTCGAGTTCAAGAACAGTGTGGGTTCCCAAAGCTTTCTCCAAACTGAAGTCACACGGGCATAACACTGACCAATCGTAATCCACTCGTCACCCTCATCCAGTACAGGTGGCGCACCGTCACCAGTACCTCAGTACAGGTGGTGCGCCGTCACCAGGTGGGGATCAAGACTTCAGTCTCGCAGCCTGTCAGAGCAGCGACAACCAGTGTCCTCACAGAGACGCACAGAGGAAGTACGGTGCTGTTGGGTGAAGAGTTTCTCTGTTTGCTCTGTTTCAGTCCAGTGAGGTGTGTGTGTTCCTGGTTCAGACTCTAGAGGAGACTCTTCAAGGCTGTCGGAGCCACGGTGGAGTCTACACAGCGGATCAGCTGCTGTAAGCTTCAGTGTGTGTGTGAGAGAGAGAGAGAGAGAGAGAGAGAGTGAGGGAGGGAGTCATTCATTTAACCTTTATTTAACCATGCTGAAGAGAGAGGCAGCACTGGTGTGACTATAGGTGTGTCTGATCTGAGACCTGTAGCACAGTCGGGCTGTCAGCTGCTTTGTTTTTACTGATATTAATATTGTACTGTTCATCGGGGCTGTAACACATTCTTATTCATTTTACAAATGTGCCCTCTTCTTTGAGTCTGTGCCCACTCCCCTGGTCATAAGTCTCTAAACCTGCCACTGTAGCTGACGTGTGCACTGTGAAGGTTCGGGCACTAACACTGGGCCGCTGCTTGTCTTCAGACTGAGCACACTGATCGTCCAGACGTTCGTCATCATGTTCAGGGAGATGGAGATCGAAGCCGCCAGAATCAACCTGCTGTCGGCCAGAAAGTAAAGCATCCTAGGTTTATGTTCCTGTTATGTTTCCTTCTGCTGTTCCTTTGGTGCGTTATTCAGTCTCCCATGTCTGCCTGGCAGTAGTAAATCAAATGAAATTTGATTTAAAAATTGACAAGATTTTTTTGTTTAATTCATAAAAAAGAAAAACTGAAGGATGTGTTGGTTGCAGCTTCTCTAATGTAAGAATCTACTGTTTCACTTCATATCATTGTAAATAACAACATAATGTTATTTTTAGGTTAAGTTGGTCTGACAACTGTTCAAAATTTATACTGGGCACATGTAACCTTTTTACTTAATGAATCAACCAGTAAAACAAATCACCAGATTAATCAATAATGAAGACTGCTGTTAGTTAAAACTCAGGGGATGGGCCTTGTAGCCTGGACATTCACTTGGTAACATTGGTAACAAGATGAAGACTGGTTTGGGAAAATACCAGATGATTAAAACAATGCAAGCTCATCTCAGCGGTCACACTGCAGCTGTAACGTGGTGTTTGTCTCCCTGCAGAGGTGCCCTGGCCTCCAGAATGCTGCTCGCCTTGATATGTGATCCACAGCTGAAACCTCACAGCCCACGACATGTGACGGGCACCGAGGTGAGCTGCTCTCCACTGACACGAGATTTTGAACCTGGTATCTGATGCAGCTGTTACAGTCGTCTGTCTGTGTCTGTCGGCTCCAGGCCTTACTGTCTGAGTACCTGGACGCTGCCTGCTCGCTGCTCTTTGAGCTGCTGCTTTTAGGCCACGAGGTGAGTTATGACGTGCCGTGATAGACATCGATTGCATCTCATTTGTCTCCTCCCTTCCCCCACTTTCAGACTTGTGCTCCTTTCCATTAATCTGACAGCATCTGCACATGTTGGCTTCATGTCTGAATCAGCACCTGCAGCCGGTCTTCATGATGGCAAACCAGTTTGACCTGTGGGTCATTCAAGGATCGAGGAGACAGGAAATCATGCACATGACCATTTGCTTTTTATGAAATGTACAGAAAAGAGAAATTCCCTGGTTTCCACTTCTCACATGTGAAAATGTCCTCGGTTGCTCAGTCTTCTGTGATGGTGAACTGAGTACCTGCTTGTGGGATGAGAAGCTTTTTAAAGGGGCTCTGGGGATCTGGGATGAGCATTTTGACTTGTTTTCTGACATTTTACAGATGAAATAACGAGAACTCTCAGCTCTGTGCAGGCTCCCTTTTTTAGCCAGGTCTCTTTTTCATACTGAACATGTGTTTCTTCACATCAGCAACGTGGATCAACATGTTCGTCACTGTATAGAACATATACAAACACTGTGCAGGGGTTAGATTTTCTGCTTAGCACCAGTATTTATTCTTCATTTCCTCTTGGTGTGTGTTTCAGAGCAGCAGGTGTTCCTCTGCTGAGAACTTCCTGTCTTTTGGCTGGATCCTCGGAGTCCTGCAGCCCCATCCTCACCTGGTAACGATCACAGCTGACACACTGAGACTGAGGACGGATAACACTGGTCTCTTTCTGACCTCACGCTAACCTGAGTCTGTTCCCTTTCTGCAGTTGTCCTTCATTGATTACCAGGCCCAGCAGACGGTGCTGGTTCTGTCGGACCCGGAGGATTCAGTTCCGAGTCCCCTTCAGTCTGTTCTGCTGTTCCAGCGCTGTCGCCTCCTGCTGGCCTGTCTGCAGTACAACTTCCATCTGGCTCAGCACCTTCGCTCACACTTCAGAGAGGAGTTCAGGTTCGTTCTGCTGAGCACTCAGAACAGTGGTGGTGCTCTGACAACCTCTCACCTGATCAGTTATTGTCCAGTCGTAGTTCAGCAGTTATAACTAGGAGCACCAGGCCTGTCCAGCTTTAGCCCCAGTCTGTGCCTTGCATGCATTAAGCAGCACTGTTTGAAAAACAGTTTAACAGCACCTGCTGCTGTTGTGAAGGTGATGTTTCCCCAACATGATTCTATCTGCCTGCAAACATATTGCGTCTGCAGCCTTGGAAACTGGTTCAAAGTTGTATTATCAATCCATCCATTATCTATAGCTTATCTGGCATCGGGTTGCGGTGGCAGCAGGTAAGGTCGTCCAGACGTCCCTCTCCCCAGCGATGTGTTCCAGCTCCTCTGGCGGGATTCCGAGGCGTTCCCAGGCCAGATGGGATATATAATCTGTCCAGCATGTTCTGGGTCTGCCCTGGGGTCTCCTACCAGATGGACATGCCTGGAAGACCTCCAAAGGGAGGCATCCTGCTAAGATGCCTGAGCCACCTCAACTGGCTTCTTTCAATGTTAAAGGAGCAGTGGTTCTACTCTGAGCCCCTCCCAGATGTCTGAACTCCACACCCTGAAGGCTAAGTCCAGCCGCCATTTGAAGGAAACTCATTTCGGCCACTTGTATATGCGATCTTATTCTTTCGGTCACTACCAGACCTCGGAGGGCAGCTCGCTGGTAAGCGTCTGGTGGCTGGGCCTTGGCGTGGGGAAAAATTACATATTTATATGTTTAGTTTTAGTGAGTAACAAGCTAAAGCTAATTATTAAGGACAGTTCATTAGAATAATGAATGAAGCTTTGCATCTTTCATTTTTAATAAAACACCAGAATTCTAATTTTTAAATCAATTAGCTTTAATCACATTTTACAAGACCCATCTAACGACTATACTGGATTAACTGAATTCATTGCACATAAATGTAGAAGGGTTGTGTGTGTTTTTTATTTGTTTGCTCACATGCTTTAGTGTCCCAAACTACCAGAGAGTTAAAGAAGAGGACAGATGCTGATATATCCTGATTTTAAATAATTTCTACAGTCTAATTCCACTGATTGAAAACCTGTTTAAGGGGAAAACCTCACTTAATTTAGACTGGAAAAGCTATTGTATTGTGAAGAGGGAATTGCCAACAGCTGTCTGATTACTTGAAATCACCCCGTGTGCTGGACTGGAAGCCTTCAGAGGTTCCTTTTATTAATGTCAGCTTTCTATCCTGCATCATGCTTTGACAGTCAGATTGTTGCAGGAGTCTGTGTTAATGCTCTCACTAAAGTGTCACCGACTGCCTCCTCCCTGCAGGTATTCTGTGAAGCCATCATGTGCTGAGGAGAAGCTGCCAGCTTGCTACTTGATCAGCCGGCCGACTGTACGGCTTGTCAAGCGTATTCTGGCTCTCATACTGCACAGGTGACCGCACACAAAGCACCGCTCTTACACTGTGTTTTATAGACTGAAAAAGTGTGTGCCTTTACCAAAGCCTGAGTGAGTTTGTGCTTTGAGCCGTGAGGCCTAAGGACCAGGTCAAATTTATCCATGCATACAGATGAAAAGTGGTAATATTGTCTGTCAGGTGTCATCATCCTACAAATTAGAGATCAGTACAGCAGTTACACATGATCTGCTTCTGCTAATATACTAACATTTCTACCGTTGAGTCAGATGAATGTTACAAGTACTTGTATGACAGGTGTTTTCCTTCAACCTGTAAAATGTGCAGAATAAATAAACAGTTGTTGTTGTTGTCTTATCCATTAAAGATGTGTTAGCTAGCTACAGCTAACCTGTGAGCTGGTGTTGCAGTCCAAACATATTTTTCCTCACTGTCACACTGGGTCTTTAAAGGGGTCTTTAATGGTGGCTACCAAGTTAGCTACTGTTAGCTTGCAAATTTATTTTATGCTTTCAAATAATCAGAACTAGAGCACTCTGTTAGTACAGGGAGGATCCAGCATTTGACACGGTAGGCTTCCTGCAGTGGTTTGAGGACAGCCTGTGCTAATGCAACCATTCAGTACAGATGCTGCCACAGGAAACTCAGGATCTTCCTCCAGGAGTCCTCCTGAGCATCCGAATGGGGCTTGGTTTGTCCTCCCCACAGCAAGGTCACTGCACACACATTATGTTGGAGAGCAGATTAGTCCACTACACAGTGAAACTGTAACTTCTAAATATTAAAGCCTGGAATGATTGTAGGACTTTAGCAGATATGCAAAATAAAGTGACACCAGGACTTAATTGCCAAGTCTTTAAACTAGTGTGATTTGTCTTAAACTACACTGACTTGTGACTGCTGTCCTGATATTTCCATTGTTGTGTGCCACACACGTCTGTTCATTGTTAGTTTTAGAATTGCCCATATTTTTCTTTAAGGAATAATGATTTCCCCAAATGTTGACCTGTTCTTTTAAACACCTTTCTCTTTTGTGGTGGCTACTGTAAACCTAGTAGCTCTGAAATGAGGTGAGAAGGGCATCTCAATCAGATGCCCAGCATCAGGGTACTCCACTCTGGTCAGCAGGTGCCCCTTCCTCATTGCACGCATCATCTGAGCGATCTGAGGGCCAAAGGTCAATTCAAGACAATCAAGAAGAGCCTCGTTTGACACAGTTTTCCTCTAATTTATAAATGAAATTGCTCTCGTGTCTGGAGCCTCATCATCAGATGTTTACTGACCTGCTCAGCATACTCCACTGTAGGCCAGTTCTGGTCATCATGGCCGTTGACCAGCAGCATCGGACAGTTTATTTTTCCCACCTACAACAAAGGTGTGTTAGAATTGAGCAGCTATTTTCTTCCAAAAACATAAATTTGTTTTGGTTTCATCAACTTGTATGAGACGATGCACCATGTACTTACGTACACTTTATTTGGGGGGGTCATTGAAAATTGCTAGACCCATGTCTCGCCATATTTGATGGTTGTTCTCATCCAAATGTATCTTGTCAGAATGCCTGCAATCACGTTAATGTTTGCGTCACTGCAACTGTAAAACTTTACATACTTGTTACTGACGAGCACAATACCTACTTAGCCAGGTCTCTATCGATACCACTGAGGGTCTTGTCAGCAGACTAAGAGTGGCTGCCACTGATGCAAACACAACAGCGAGGCTGGAACAGAACACATTGAAACATAAGACATCGGTTCTCCACCATCAGGCACCAAATTTCTTCAAGATTTCTGTCCAAGAAGTAATCTAACAGGAAAAAGACCTAAAACTCCCAACTCTTCATTCCATGGCAGATAGATAACAGCCGCTAATTCAAGGCTAAACGAAAAGCAGCTACGAGAAATAAAGCTTCTAATACCTACTTTAATAACTGTGCTCTCAGCTGTCAAGTAATTGGTCACCACTGCACCGATGCGCTTGCCAATAAGTCCAACTCGGTCTGGCATCACTTCAGGATGGTGCTTGATGATATCAAATGCTGTCTGTGCAGAGACAGATACCAGAAAATAAAAAAAAGGTGTCCTAATCACTTCCTTAAAGTACATCAACATTAAACTGGTTACACTGTAAACACGTTTCTGTTTTGGCCCTCCATCCAGAGTAAAACTGTGTTTTCTTGCCCTAAAACAAAGCTTTTCCAAAGTCTTAAACACCAGCTTAGTGTTTCAGGATGTAGCTTTTGTGCAGCTATGATCTAAGCTGCTCAGTGAGGTCAGAGCTGAAATGGATCCTTGGAAAATCTACCCAAGTCCAACATGCATGGATGGATTACTATACAAACCTGCTGGGTTCAGGCGCAGGGGCCCCTGGAGTAGAGCCTCTCTGTTAAGGGACTTTTAATATTTCTTATTGGAAAGTCCATCAAAAGACAAAGTGAGTAAAAATAGATGCAAAACAGCCACAGACCAATCCAAAATGAGCATAAGGAGACACAAAGCAAGTACAGAAGCAACCACAGACATACAAAATAAGTATGACTACAGGCAACATGTAAGACATGCAAAGGAACCTCATAGACAAAAACAGGTAATAGACCAAAGTTATCACACAGAACCAAAAGGAAACAACTAAAAACAGATCCAAAATGGCCACAACTAAACAAAGACAAATATGACACAACGTAGACACAAGATGTGAAAGAACAACAAGATGTAGGTGCAAAACATTCACAGAGATGTTAAATGAGGAGAAACTACCACAAAACTACCACAAAGAGGACAATGTTAAATGAAGAGAAAGTACCACAAAACTACCACAAAGAGGACAAACTTTGGAGCTAATAACATAACACAAACCTCAAAATAGTTTAACTCTTGATCAGCTGACAGCAGCTCACCAGGCCTGAATTAGTCCAGTGCCAGAGCTGCATAACCACGGGATGCCAGCAAAGCAGAACAGTATTCCATTAGTCCTCCTCCACCTCCCCACAAGTCTAACACCCCAGGGAAGGGTCCTGGACCTGAAACAGATGATGAGCTTTTCTACAAAAAACAATAAATAAATAAAGATTTTAAGAGCAATCAATAATCATGACAAAATTATACTGAAGAAGGGGCCTTGGGTGGAAGATTAGCTCCTCTACTCGATAAGTAACAATACCAAAATATAAAAATACTCAATTACATTTAAAGTTGTACTGTAGTATAAGTACATTTTTCAGTTTGCGGCTGCCTGGGACAGGATGCATACTCCAAAACAAACCCATGGGTTCTTTTCCTGTATACGAAATGTATTTAAAGTATCAAAAGTACAAGTACTAGTTTTACTAAAAACTGCCCCTTTGACTCGATATTATCAAATATATTATTAAACCTAATGCATCAGTGTGTGAGCTGCATTTCACTGATGTAGCTGCTGGAGGTGAAGCTAGTTTTAATACTGTATGTACAGTTTGCTAGTTTACTTCAGTGGGGTCAGGACCATCCAAATGATCTTGTTAAAAGTTTAGAAGGGAAACATCTGAAACCAGACAGTTTTTAGAAGTAGCCACAAGCCAGGGTGATTGTAAATCACTGCTTCCATCTTTAACAATGCATTGGATTCTATAAGACCATTATGCTTTTTTGAAAGTTCATCAGAAAGGCAACTAGTAAAGTAAAGCTGTCTTAAACAGGGGAGTCAGCGGTACAGTGGAGGAGCAGAACATGGCCTTTTTTAGGTAACTCATGGGGGTGTTCATGTACCTGGAGGTAAAAACAGGGTCCCTTGTATTCCTTCCTCTCTGATATCAATCCTCTGGACTCCTGGAGTATGTACCATCTCTCTGTGAGAGCTGAGGCCAGAGGAGCCTGGTCCCTGACGCCCTCATGTTCGCGGTACACAGAGATGTTGACTAGCATGGGGTTGCAGACATTCATCTTCCTTAACCTGACAAGTAAACAAAACAAGGAGGTCAGGATTCCTTTTCCTCTCTAAAGCCTCATTCAGACTGAATTTCCTTCTCTAGGGGAGGTGGGCTGATTTTATGTTACCTGTCCAGGTCAATGATTTTAACCTGGTCTCTGCGAACTGGCTGCTCCTCCTGTCATTTAAGTCTTGTCTAGATTGACAAAGCTGCAGGTTACATTACCTGAGGCCTTTGCGGCTGCCTGGGACAGGATGCATACTCCACAACAAACCCATGGGTTCTTTTCCTGTATAAATGCCCCCAAAACTGAAATCTTCCGAAACTTAAAAAAAAGAGAGAAATTGGCAACAAGACAGACAGAATATTCAACAAGCAAATCAGCTGCAAAGTCACATAGAGCTTGGTACTTGGCATAAGACTCCACTTGTCCTCAGTGCACTCTGGGGACAGATGGGAGCTGTCAGTGGAGGTCACAGTGGAAATACATTTAAGATCAGCACCTAAAGTCTGATCTGACGTGGATTAGGGAGCTAATGAAGGAATGCTAATGCTGTAATGTGTTCAAATTGTAGCTGCAGCATTCTCAACCATCTGAAGACTTTTATCAGCGCATAACAAGAGAACAAAACGATACAACAATCAAATCTGGATGATGAAAAGGCAAGAATTAGGACCTGCCATGGATTAAAAGGCAGCATTTTAGTTATGTAGGTGAACAAAGGTGATCTTGTGAAGTCTAATATGCTGATCAAAAGAGAGCATAGGATGCAATGAAGCAAGATTCTTAGCCATCAAACTGAGAAATCGCACACTGGTCAAGGGTTACTATTTACTGATCAAACTGGTGTTGGGTTTTCACAGCAGGCAAGCAAGTGTCTAATAATTTAAGAGGGATCATTTGCCTTTGCAGGCATATGCAGCAGAGTATCACCAGTGTAGTAGTGAACATTAATTCCCTGACTGTGTATAATTTGAACAAGAGGTGAAATATAAAGAGAGAGGGCCAAGAACAGAACCCTGGGGTACCCCTTATTTTACTTCACAAAATTTCAATGTTGCATTATTACTGAAAAAATGATGTGCTTTCAGATAAATGTTATTTTCAAGTCAGTTCTAGCAGTGTATAGTTATCTGTGGTGTCAAAAGCTGTACTGAGATGGAGAATCCATGTTAAGCAGAAGACCACTCATTACTTCAATAAGTGCAGTTTCAGCAGCAAATTGAAAAGGTTCAAAAAGATCACTGTTAGATAGGGGGCTTAAAGGTGTAGAGACACAACCCTCTGGTGCTTTTAGAAAAAAATGGAAGGCTAGAAAATTATTGAGAGACTGGATCAAAGTGTAGTTTCATAAGTAGAGGTTCAACCTCGGCAGTTCTTAAGCTAGGGTTGGTTGTGGCAGTTCTGAGTGATAAATTACCAACAGTCAGCTAAAACTGGCCAAGCGGCTTTGGTGGGCTTTACTAGTGGACAGTCACGGTGACATGTAGTAGGGTCAGGACGAACCTAATGCACACCAGAAGACCACAGTCATGGGTATAGTCCACCTACACCAAAGTTATTTCACTGAGAGTTGTGAAATGTTACATATCAACCCACATGCCCACTGCTACACTGGGACACACAATTAAGGTTCCTAATATTCTGACACTCTCATGTATGTACCTGGGGAGGACAGAAACACAGAGACACTTCTAAATATAACGTAGTCCAGTACAGCACCACCTTTAACTATGACCAACTATAAACATATAATTGAATTTACACCTTTATGACAGTTTCATGTTATGCAAGTCCAAAACCACTAGATTTCACTGCTGAGTTTGAAGCCCTGAAGTTTAGAATCATATTTTTGCACAAGAAAGAAAGAATAAGGTGCATGTGTTGACACTTAAGACCCAGTGTTTTTATTGCAAAGTGGACCAAAACCCACCAGACACCGT